TCTTATGCTGGGGTCCCAGAACTGAACCCAATATTACAGATGCAGTCTCAACAGAGCGGAAGTAGAGGGGCAGGATCACCTCCCTTGACCTGCTGGCAACACTCCTCCTGATGCAGGCCAGGATCCCATTGGCCTTCTTGGCCATGAGGGCACACTGCTCACTCATGGTTAACTTAGTGTCAAGCAGGACTCCCAGGTCCTTCTCTGTGGAGCTGCTTTCCAGCAGGTCAACCCCTAGTCTGTACTGGTGCCTGGGGTTTTCCTCCCCAGGTGCAGGACCCTGCACTTGTCCTTGTTCAACCTCATGAGGTTTCTCTCTGCCCAACTCTCCATAATAAGTTCCAATAAGTTCATTTCATTCACTTAGAGCTAAAGAGGAATAAGATTACCATGAGGTCTCACTGCTTCTCATATTCTGCTTGAATAACTTGTTGGAAACACGAAATAGCATTTAGTCCTAATGCCTCATACACCGAACTCAAGGGCACAGGTGCTGTGTCCTATAGTTGGGTGGTTTGTAGGCAAATAACATCTATGAGCACGAGCTTGATCACCAAGTGGTTGCAATGTACATTGTCAAATAAATGTACATAAAAGTACAGCACTGTGCTTTTGAGAGATTTGCATCATCAGAGGGTGGTGAAATATGGATGCATGAGAAAAATTGTCTCAGGGCCCTTGGGGCATTCCTCTCCTGTGGAAATCAAAGCCATCCCTTGCGTTTGTGTGGAACTGACTTTAGAAAATTAATTGGCTCTTAGTCTACACGAACACTGAAGCTTGTGATGTCCTCTTAAATTATGGCTGCTGAAGAGTGACAGTGTGTGCAGGGGGTTAATTTATTACTTTGTTTTCCTCCTTATCATTTTTTATGGGATGTAACAATTTTCTTTAAAGGCCGATAGATTTGAGGGAAATAGGTTGAACCAGAATTCAGAACCAGAATTGGATTTTGAATGTTTTCTCACATTCTCTTTACTTCCTTTTCTCTGTGGGTAATATGGAAGTAATAGTCCTAGTTAACGGTATTGCTACAGCGTCTGGAATTGGACTATTCCAGTTAGGTTCTATGGAAACACAGAAAAATAAAATACTCACCCTAAGCCCAAAGGGTATCACACACAGCCAACCTCACAAAAGTGCTTTGATAGTTAGTTTAGAAAGTATTTTTTAAACAAAACTTTGAGAAGATTTTACTGCTTCAACACAACATACCAATGTTGATGGACAGGAAAAGCAAATTAGCCTTCCTTCCATGTAAGTGAGCTGTGGAAAATTTCAGGTGGCAGCTGTGTTTTTTCCCACTCTTTGCCATTTGATGAAATTATATTCTAACCTCTAAAGTTTTATAACAATTTTCAAAACTTTGACTTTTTAATCATATCAAAGTTATGAATGTAACAGCAACAGTCCTAGCTAGCCTGTTTATAGAGTATTATCTTCCAAAAGTAATAAAATCCAATAAATATCTGACATCTACAGATGACATTGTACTAGTAAAGGGATATTTACTGCATTCTTTTCCTCAAATGGAAGTTTTCTATGAAATTACAAGTAACTTTTCAGATAGCTGGGATGGAAACATTAATAATTCTGCTTTGCCTGGCTTTTACTGTGTTTAAACACAGAGTATTTCATCATACAAAGCAGTAATGTGCTAATATCTAAAAGTCTTTTAGCATACACTGTTGAATACACAAACGTACACTTTTTGGAACCATGCAGACATGTGATTCTTTCAGTAATTCAGAACTTATTCTAATGTAATGGAAAGAACGAAAGGGAAAAAACTTCCTTTATCTCTAAACGCAAAGTGCCCTAAGGCCATTATTTTGGGACCAAAAATTAGTGACTATGTTTTACAAAGGAAGTGTCTCCTCTTTGCAGTTTAGAACTGATTAGTTAATGGGTATGCAAAAAGGTCTGTATGGAATTAGACAAGAGGGAATCTGTGCAGTCCAATCTATTTTGTGCATGTTCTCCAAGATCTCAACAACTAAAGCTAATGCTCCCTCAGCTCCATCGAACTCATTAAGCCAGGTCATTATATTAATAATGGGTTGCCTTTCCGTCTGCATTTATGGCACTTAGCAAGTCAGTGTGTGTGGGTGCCTTGTGTCATGAAGGAGAAAGCTCCTGTCAATGAATGAGATTAATCCATCAAGAGAATTAATGTGACTTGATTATCCTTGATGCATCTGAAAAATCTGCCATGCACAAATTTGACTTGAATAGATACCCAAAGCTGTAGGAGGCAGCAACACTCCAAAACATTTGCCATAGCTCTGTCATCAGCACAGTTATGCTGCTGTTTTGCCAGAAATAGTTCTTATGCTTTCTGTTATGTAAGAAGCACCCCCCACAAATTAGTTTTCAGTTTGCTTCATACCGAAACGAGGGGGAAACATTTGAGGTGATTGAAAATTACTTCAAAAAAAWATATATAATATATATAAAATCACCAATAAATAAACAAAAGACATTTTGGATTTGGTTAAGGTAGATCTTTTATTCTGTCTTTTCTTTTTCTTCTTTTCTTTTCTTTTTTTTWAAGCTGGCTGAGTGCCATTTTTAAGTTGATTTGGAGGTTCCCAAGTGCTGAGAAGGTAGTCCCTTAGGCCTGGGATCACTGACCAAAGTGATCACTGAACTAGCAAAGATTCTTCTGCATTAAAAAAAAAAAATGTAAGGAAAGGTGGATAATTTGGAATAAATGAAAAGGTTTCCAAAGTGCTGAAGTAACTATATATAAAGAATAGTAAGTTTWCTTCTTGGAAAAGACAAATATACGTGTGGGCTTCTCCGTGCTGTAGGACATAACTATTCTGTTTTACCATAAAACAGAGCAAAAGAAAATACAAGTTTTTAAACTGATTTAAACTGATTTTCAACTGATTTTCTCTCCCCAAAATCATGAGTAGTTCTAGAATTTCAATTATCATGAATGAGCATTAGCGATATTTTAAAAACAYCCAGCAATTTTGATGACTAATTATTGATTGCTTAGTTGCAGCTAAGGAGTGACTCTTCTCATAGTCTCATACCTGAAAATGACTGTATTAGATTTGTTTTACATACATAGTGAGAAAAGCATGGAGCAGATCAAGAGTTGCGGAGAAGTTATAGTCGTCCAGAAAAAAAWAATAATAAAAAAAAGCTTCCCCCTAAACACTCACTTCCAAAGATAGGACTTGGCAAACTCTCCAGGACCTTTGTAAATACTGGATTAGGGAACAAATTGTCCAGATGTTTCATTAAACAAACAAACTCAACCAAATATCTATTCATTGTAAYTGCTTAAAAACAGGATATATTGAAGTTATTTAAGACTTCATGGATASTAATTTATTTAGGTGCTGGTCTGCTTTGAAACATTCGTTTACAGACAAGGTTACTGTAGTACACTGAGATGTCATAGACACGATTAATGGCAATTCCTATGTGTTTCCTAACAGTACATTTGTAGCTCAATGCAGTTATAAAATAGCTGTTTTACTGTCTGACARCAAATAAATAAATTTTGAATTCTTGTTAGCATGTGAATCAGTGGATGTGCCTTGCAACACTGGAATTAAATTCAGGTGTATTTAGTGGTTTACTAAGGACACACAGAATATGACATATGGAATTGCTGTTGTTTTCTGGAGTTGTTTGCATGCACAGTGTAGTCAGAATCCAAAACAACAACGTCTTGTGCATGCTGTCTGAAAACATTTTTGTGTTATTTCAAAATCAAATTTCCACACAAAAAAACCCAAAAAATCTATTCCTTGACACTTGTTCTGTGAAGTCTGAAGGTKAAAAGTTACGTTGTAACTGAGAATAAAATAGGCATTTGAAAAATGATTCAGCTGGAAAAAAAAAATAATAATAAAAAAATTCCACATTAAGACAACTTTAAAGTGCTCACGTTGATTTTATTGGACTCCTGCTATATTCACTTCTGAGCTGACACATGTTCAGCGCTCAAGGCCACTTCYGAGAACACTGTCACTAAATGCGATCAGCTCCGCAGGGTGACGCGGTGCCGTGCTGTGACCCTCCAAGCTGGAGAGCGGCACGGACTTCACCCCTGAGGCTCCTTTACTCCCGGGGCACCTGCTGCACATACACCCCTGTTTTTCAGCGGTGGTGGGGTGGCCTAAGGACGGGGTGCCAGGCCTGGCTGGCGGGTTTTCCACCCTGGTTTAAGCAGCCGGAAGGGTGTTTGGGGCAGGTCTTTGCCCTGGGCGGGTGCCTGGTGGCACGGATGCTGCCGAGTCCTGCTCCTGCCCGACTGCAGACCTGGACTGGGCAGATGGGGACATGGGGGCCGAGGCGTTTGTTTCCTCTGAGGGTGTGTTTTTTTTTTTTTTCTTTACCCCAAGATGATGTTAAACAGAGGATTCAGATACTAGGGGAGAAGAGGCGAGGGTTTAGTGCTCAGTTCTGGTAGTCTGACGCTCTCCATAGGGACCTTTCTACCCCGTGCCCACTCCGCATCCGAGGCCCTTCCCAACGGACGAACCCCGCCCCGCAGCCTGCTCCGCTCCGCATCCGTTCCGGCTGGATCCGCTCCGAATCCGCTCCGAATCCGCTCCGAATCCGCTCCGGCGGGCGGACGAGCCCCGGTCCGCCCCCTCGCCGCGCAGGCCCACGCGCACGCGCACACGCAGGCGCAGGGGCCGCCATGTCGGCGGCCGTTGAGCGGCGGTTGGCGCAGTTCCGCGCGGCCCGCGGCAG